CCAATGTGATATATGGCCAACAGGAGGAATCTTTATAATATAATTTCATTAATAAGGACCAACTTTGCACTTTTTCATGCCCCAAAAAGGGCAACTCTTCTACTTATACCGTTGTTGTGTTGAGCAACAAGGTAGATTTGATTTTCTTGGATTCCTTTATCTTCCGTTCTTGGTTCTCTCCCTTTCTCTCTCTTCTTCTGCTTTCCCTTTCTATACGGATTTTATTTGTGCTCCATATCTTTTTTGTTAAACTAGCATTCTAGTCATCAAGTAAATTTATTTGGTCAACCTTATTTTTGTTGAGTGCAAAATTTTCATGTGTAGTGCTGCATACTTGGTGGCATAGAGATTGGTTGTGGATGTGATCTATTAATTTTTTTTAGTTCGTGTTCTTGACCACACACGAACTTGTTTCTATGTAGATGCTTTTTCTATATATAAAAACTATTAGAAGCTCATGTCAGTTGTGGAAAACTCCATTGCCCTTAACTTGGTTTTTCTTTTTATGATATATGAGTAATACTTGCATTAGCTTTCTCAAGCAAATTTTTTTCTGAGTTTTAGGCATAAGCTTACACAATTTTCCAGAGGGGATGGCAGTGTTCTTAGGATCAATTAAGGTAGGCCCAGCCTTCTTCCAGCTACATTTATTCCTTTTCATGTTATCATGCCAAATGATATATGGTTAATATAGGAAAGTTTTATCTTCACTCAACTAATTTTTGCAAGTGTGCAAAGTATTTGAGCTTTTGATTGATGCAATTATCTATGTTACATGTACCATTCATTTTACCCCGATATGTCAGTGTTAAATACATCTTTGCAAATATTGATTATTTATCTTGGAGTCTTCAAATGAAGGAAACATTTGCAAAAGTAGATGAACCTGACAATCAAATGCTGTATCTTTGGCTTGTATCTGTGTCAAGATAACATAAGCACTTATTTCACAGCATGATGAGTTTTAGATTTTTTCTTTTTTAAATAAGAGACTCAAAGATTCTTAAATGAGCTTTACTTGGTAGAACTCTCTGTTAGTTTAGTCGTTATGCAACTTTAGTCATTCGTGCTTCTACAAGCTTTCTTGGTTGTATGTTGTCCCTGTACTTCATTTTTGTGATTAATTGTAGATTGGCTCCTTTTCCCTTTTGGTTTGCTCCCTTTCACTTGGCTGCCCTATGCTCCGTTAAATGGCTCTTATCTGTACTCTCTTACTTATTCTGTTAAAGTGAGTTAATATGCAAAGGAAAGGTGAGTTAATATGCAAAGGAAAGGGCGTATTTGTTGACTTTAACTCCTCAAAAAATAAATATTGTAGGAAAAATAATTGAATTGCAATATTTTGACTTCCTGACATGAATTTTTCCAATCCAAATATTTTCCTACAAATTTTATTTTTGGGCCAGCGGACAATTTAGTTAAAAGGCAAAACCAGTGAGCCTCAATGGGCAAATAAAATCACTTTGCAAAGCAACAAGGTTCTAGAGCAAAACATCCTTGTGTTGGGGGGCACGGGGGGGTTGAGGGGGTGATAAGTTAATTGGAAGAAGTAATTTGCTCCTCTTTGATGTTTGTCTTCTTTTACTGATTTTTTCTCGGTAATTTAGTTTTATAAATAAGAATGTGGTTTATGCTGTTGAGGACCATAATTACTGATACTACTGTTTATGCTAATAAGATCTTTTGTCTTTTTTGCTCATTGCTTGTAGGGAGTTCGGGTTGGTCTTAATTTGGCCTTGGCCATTGCTTTACACAACATTCCAGAGGTACCAAATTCTCAAATGCCAAGAACTGCTCTTTCAAATTTCGAAGTGTTTTAGCTGTTATCTTGCGGGGACTGGTATTTTAGCACATTAAAAAGCTTCTTCCCAGTAAAAGAATCACAACTAAATTTTTCACAATCAATTAGGCATGCATCTTTAGGCTTACCCCTTTGTTAAGCTTTCAGTTGTATTATATTATTTCCATTAACAAAAGAGTGAAAAACAGTATAGGATAATTCAGCGCTTGAATGCAACTTTTCTCACTCTGAAATTACTTCTTTCTACTCTATTTTCTTTACCTGATCTTCAATGTTCAAGTGTACTTAATGCTTTATAAATTGTTTTATTTAGTACCAGCTATTCAGCTATCAAGGTTTTGGTTATTATTGCAATTCTCTTACTATTTCTAGCTGCCAGATATTTGCAATATGGTTATTACTTGAGAGATAACTAATGACAGAGAAGTCGGATTGCTTCCGAGTCCTAAACTTATTTGTATTATTGCATTTTTCTTGTTTTCATAAAATCAAGCTGACCCTGTGGATTAATGGTCATAGAACATGAGAAGTGTTCTATCCTTACTACTTTCTTTTCACTCTACAGGGTGTTGCTGTTGCACTTCCTGTATATTTTGCAACAGAAAGGTGAGATATAATTGCTTATTTTTTGATTGTTTAGCACTTTTTGTTGCACGGTACAAACATTTTACATTGAATAGAATTCTAGAATTGATTCTTCTCTTACATTTATCTTTTTTGTCAATGCATATATGAAGATACCAGTGAACAGTGCAGGATATTCAATATTGTTGCTGTTACTGGTTCAAATGATTCAGTCTAGTTGAAAGGAGCCATTATAGTTGTTTGTGCATGCCATAGAAGTTAGGGTCTGAAGATTGTTGGACAGAACCTTATTTATATCATTTCAATTTTCTTCCATATTTTTTATATTCAACATCATCATTATCACTACCAGTAGCACATCATTATTGGGAAATATTTTTAGATTTTTTGAAGTTAAAGTCAACAATATTGTAATTCTTTATATGATGATACAGTTACTGATTGGTTTTTGACATCTAACAGCAAGTGGCAGGCATTCAAATTGGCAACACTTTCTGGTTTTGCTGAGCCTCTTGGTGTAATTATTGTGGGTATGTTAGCTGTTATTTGTTGCAGGACTATAACAATGTTCTAGGAAAAAGAAATGGAAAACAAAAAATTCTCATCTGAATAAGAGAGATTGTGAATTAAAATGTTTGTTTTAACATTAAATAGGATATTTCCGAATCTCAATTAATTGACGGACTGTAAGGCATAAAAGAACTGCAACAGCCATTTCATACTCACATGCAAGCACAGCTGTTTATTTATTTATTTGTTTGAAAATTTTGGCCCTTTTCTTCAATCAGTGGTGTTTGAATGGTTGGTTTTCGGGGGCAATGCGGAATAATGGAAAATCTCTAACATATCTTTCTTTTTATAATACAGCCTATCTATTTCCAAGCAGCTTGAGTCCAGAAATTCTTGAGGGCTTGCTGGGATCAGGTTCACAATTCATTGATTCTCAAACATCTTAAATAATTGAAGAAAATTGATGTCTGTCATTGCTAGGATCATCTTATGGCTTATTTATTGTGAGTTAGTCTAATATATTTGCAGTTGGTGGAGTAATGGCTTTCCTGACCTTGCATGAAATGCTGCCGTTAGCATTTGATTATGCAGGGCAGAAGCAAGCTGTTAAAGCTGTGTTCTTTGGGATGGCTTTCATGTCTGCAAGGTAAAAGAAAATCTCATATTGATTTTTTTGTTTCAGAAACAAGAAAAAGCTTGGTTTATGTTTGACTTGCATATCCATAACTGGATTTATTACAAGCCAAATCTTCTCTGTGGGTGGGAGGAAGCAGCGAAAATATTTGCATATTTTTCAGTGTAAATGATGATGAAAAACGCAATGTGTTGAGGAAGCGACAAGGAAATATTTGACTGTCATAGTGGCAATACAAAACTTACCCGGGCCAATATTTTATTCGACTTCAATAATGAGCCATAAAAGACAAAGGAAATACTAGTAGAAGTTACCTAGTGCATATGTATATATATATGGTATATCTTTTGTTTCAATGAATTTCTATGAGAAATTTTTTGATCTTTGCATCTATTTTTCTTGGTGTACACTTGTTCATTGCATTCCTGATATAATGCAAGATTTAGTTAGATTTGGATATATCAGGCTATTATCTCCTTTCCCCTGCACACAGATACATTCCGCTCATATATTTCTTGCTCTTTTTGCAGCCTATATTTTCTTGAAATCAGCTTACCTGAAGATATGAGCATGTAGTTGTCACTTGGCCAGTCAATTACAACAAATATTGTATATGTCATTTGTTGGTAAGTGGAAGATTTATGTTAATGATTAGTTGTTTCATACTGATCTTCAGCCAATACCATGAGGAGTAGCTGTCTTTGAAGGATAATTCTTACCTCTTATGCTTCTTAACTCAATCACTTGGAATTCGAAAACGGGAGGGGTTGCTGGTGGGGCTGGGGAAAGAGATAACAAATCTTGTAATTTTCAGTAAACTACTGGTAACTCATGGTTACAGACTCTAATGCTAAGTACATTCATAACAAAACATGATACTTGTTTTGGAAACATTGGATTGATTAGTAAAGAAAGCAAAAGTTATCGATGAAACTATCGAATGGAAAATGTGGGTTTATGATTGTGAAAGAACTTTTCAAGTTAAAAAAAATATTGCTTTCCTCTACTATATTCCATTAATCAATTTTCAATCTGTTGATTTCTTTTTTTTTTTCTTCTTTTATATGTATATACATGATTTGCTTATGAGATAATTAATTTGGCTTTGCCCTGCTCTTTTACATGCTTGCTCATTCCAGATGCTACCAATTTCAACATTTTATACTTATTTTTGTGTATCTGTGTAATTCTTTTCTGAGTGATCTGGTAAATGTACCCTATACCTACCTAGACCTTGAAAGCTCAAAGTGAGTGAGTATGATTGTAGGTTGTTGGACATGAATGTCTTCAGAGAAAGTACCAAAGTAAGAAACAACAAATCCCATCAAGAGATTCATGGGATTAAAGCTGTCCAGTCCTCTCTCTTCTTCATGGTTTTTGGAAAAAAAGAAAAGTGAATAGCTTTTGATTGGATTTATATCAAAGCTGAAGGAGAGAAGAGGCCCAGATGATGATATATTCTTTTATAGAGAGTACTTAAAGAGATTTTCACAGTACTCTGTACTCATAAAAGCAAAAGGAGTAGATGTAAAAAAAAGCAGCCATGAGAGAAAGGGCAAAAGGGCTTCTTTTATGGCTTTATTGGAATAGAAAGAACAAAAGAAATTAACTTTTTTTTTTTTTTTTTTCTCTTTGACTGTAAATACACTTAAATTAATTAAATAATGTAAGTTCACAATTAGTTCAATTAGGAGAAAGTATAAATTTTATATAACAACAAAATAATTCAACTTATGGAAATTAAACTAGCATGAAATTGAGGTACGGATACAAGTTCTTCTCTTCTAAATTAGATAGATTCGTATCGTTAATAAATTCTTTCTAAATTGACTATTTATTTTTCTAATAGAGGTGTTTCAGAAATATTTGCAACCGAATAAATATTAATTGACATAATATTATTAATTTTTTTTAAAAAAATTTTAGTATGACAAGATGATCATAAGTTTATTAGTTAAGATGATATTAGAATTTTAATCTTTGTTTTGTAGTCCATAATTAGTTTCTCTTTATATATACATTTATTATATACCTCATAATTGAGTTTGGTCCATGTGTAAAATCAAGTATTAACGTATAGAATAAGTATCGGATTAAATTAGTATTATTTTTTTTATAGACGAAAGTTCTTTTGAGAAAAAAAAAAAAAAAAGATTGAATCAATTTTATAATTTTACAAAATCAAAATTAAATTTCAACATAATAAATATTAAGCATGTATTTTTTCTTAATATTTTTGGCCTAATAAACTTACATATGAAGAGAGTATAGAATATGAGGCAGATGATATCATTTTGATTCCATTACAAATTAAAATTCTGTGGGTAAGCCGAAGGCTTTCTTCACTTTGTTCTGTTATTTTCTTTCTCCTTCAACGAATATATGTATATATATATATATATATACACACATAGAGACATACCCATCTCTACTTATTCTCCTCTCTGTAATTATTTCTGCCTTATTTCATTCTCAAAAAGTAGATTTTATACATATATGTGCCAAGATATCATGTATATGAACATACCTTTTCCTTTCTCTCTGCAACTTTTCTTTAATTCCCTTTTCCTCTTTCCATTATAGCCATGGATTCTCTTTGAGAAAAGAAGAAAGTGATTTCATTTACCAAATCACAAGATTCTCCACCATATTGTAAAACTACTGCTCGAAAGTTTTCTGCAACTTAACATATAACTAATGGAGTTTGCTAAGAGTGTGAAATAAATGTATACAGGCTGCGTACAAATTAAAATTTTTTTATATTTGTTTCTTAGTAATTGAAATCTCGAATCCTGATTGTTTTATTTTGGTTAATAATTTAATTTTATGCAAATATAAATAATTAATTTGTTTATTTCCTATTAATTATTCATTACCCATCAAAGAACAAAACTGGAATCAAGACAAATCTGTCAATATGATGTCGAGAATATTTAAGTATGTGTGTATGGTTAATTTCATGAGGGGTGAAGTGGGAACAGATCGGTGACTTTCACCCTCTTGAAGACAAACTTGTCCTTGTCTGAATCTGAATATGTATATATATATATATATAGATGTGTGTGTGTGTATAAAGGAGAAGAACAAACCTATATGTAAACATGAGATCAGAATTCTCGGTCCCCTCTTCAATAATGTCCTACATATATATAATGTTAAAGTATATAATATACATACATTTTGTATTTGGTCTGAATGGGACTAGACAGGATGTATGTATATATTTAGATTTTTCTTTTTCTTTTTTGAACATTAGAAGACAAAACAGCAAAAACTAAGATGACTTGAAATCTAATAGACGTAATACATATACACACATATATATATATATTCTTATATAAAGGAGGATTGGTTTGTCATTGACTCTCATTGCTGCAGCTCATAAGCTCACCACACTTCCAAACATGGTGTAATGAAGAAGATGCTGTTAGTTGTAGAGAGAAAAACAATACAAGGATCCATCAAAAGGAATGATGGATGATGGGTCGATGTGGGACTGGGGAGAGTGAGTAGACACATCACTGAAAATAACAAAGACAACAAGAAAAGAATCAATCTTTTATTATTAATTATTAATTATTAATTATTATTATTCACTTCTGAGCTACCTTTTCACTGTTATGTTAAATCTATTCTCTTTGCACAGCAGAAAACACTATATATTAACTATCACTTACACAGCTGCTGGCTGCCACGCGTGGACCAGGCCACACTAGCCAGTTGAATCCAGAGACCCACATGTATATATATGTATATATATGTTTGTACAGTGTATATATATGTGGGTATGTATGTATAGATGCTAGAGAGAGAGAGAGAGAGAGAGGGGTGGAGGAAATTGAATTAATAGCCAACAACATGATACAACAAGAGAAAATCGAGAGAAAGAGAACAG